TCTTCTTCTTCTTCTTCTTCTTCTTCTTCTTCTTCTTCTTCTTCTTCTTCTTCACCCGTCCAGATCTGAAATCGGCAATCATGGTTCGCTAATCTTTTCTTTACTCGGACGCTCTAGAAAACAAGATCTACACATGTATAAAATAATATTGCCCTGGCATTTTCTCGTCACCATCTGTTAAAGTTCTCCTAATAAGTTATCACTAATCTACCTTTGTATATTCTGCCTCCTATTTTTTCCAGGGAGAGCAAGATGTTCCAGGGCTTTATATTGAAACGAGGTTTAGTTACGTCTTATTCAATCCTCTTAACACTGGTCTTATAACATTGTTCAAGCCACTAAGTAGATTTATTTAGGCTTTGCATTTGCTGTTTCCACTGGGGGCTCCGTGGCATTGCACGAACATTCACGGATTGAAGATCCAGAGATGCCCCAAACCTCGATCAGCGCCAAGGGGGAAAAAACAGCAGGAGAGCACTTAGGAGTCATGACATGAGTGTGGCCCGGCCCCCTTAGAGTGTCAGGAAGTTAGGGCCGCAACACTTGCTTGAAGGGGATTCTTCCTCTGATGATCTCCGGCTGTTCGCTCGCCCCATGAGTTTTCTCCTACTTATATTATTATTACTATTCTGTGGATATTTGACTGGTGCTCTGGAGAGTTTTGCTCCTTTATTCCTATCCCACATCTATTTTTCTTCTCATTTTCTTTGTGTGTTTCTCTCAATTAACACCTCTAATCTTCGGTGGGAAATTATATGACCTATTTGTGTAGTATGCGCCGTTATACTCTTCCACAAACTAACCAAGCGTCCGCTCTAAAGAATGACTCATCACTTGTCAGATAACGTTAATGAACTTTTAAAGATTCAACAAGGGTACAAGTGATGACGACATCAACTGAAATGAAATGGAAGACACGAGACAGTGATGTAGAACGGAATGAAATGATGAGTGATCGCACTGACAAATGAAACTACACAACGCACGAGTCCCCATGGGGCGCAGAGTGATGATGGTGGGTGGTTGATGGGTGCCCTGGTGTGATTTGCTTCTTCTTTCCTAACAAACATCTGTCGTCCTTAACTCCCCTTCTTCTTTTTTTATGTTTGTTACTCTCTTGTAACACCTCTAAACTTCTGGCGTTCACACAACCTTATGCAGTTGCGAGCGCCGTAAAACCTCTACTAAAACTAAACTAAAGAGTAATGATGGTAATCGGACATGAACTGAAAATGAGTAATACTAATAATACAGCTACATATTCCTCCCCCAGGCTGATGTGATCATCCCTGACAACCGTCCCGCCAAGTCCTGGCCGTCCAAGGGTGTGGTGGAGTTCAACCGGTACCAGACCAGGTACAGGGAGGGGCTGGACCTCGTTCTCAAAGGCGTCAACTGCTGCATCAACTCGGGAGAAAAGGTGACGATTAAAACGCTCATTATAATCAATGTGGGGAGCAAACGGAAAAATAAGGGGGGAAAATAATGTCTTCAATCTTGTGCAGAGATAGAGAGAGAGAGAGAGAGAGAGAGAGAGAGAGAGAGAGAGAGAGAGAGAGAGAGAGAGAGAGGGAGAGGGAGAGAGAGAGAGAGAGAGAGAGAGAGAGAGGGAGAGGGAGAGAGAGAGAGAGAGAGAGAGAGAGAGAGAGAGAGAGAGGGAGAGAGAGAGAGAGAGAGGAAGAGAGAGAGAGAGAGAGAGAGAGAGAGAGAGAAAGAACAAACTTTATTATCTTTTAAACAGAAAGAAAAGGACAAAAATACCTCTTCTATACTATACTATGATTTAGTGGGCGTCTAGGTCCCTTGACCATGTTGCATTTTACTCAGCCTTTTTTTTTCTCTGGTGCTTTCTTTCTAGGCGATGTAGCCTTCCAACAATGGCTGCCACCGTTCTTTTGGCTCTTCTCCGCCGTCCTCTCTTTGATCTCATCTTGCCGTCTTCTTTCTGGTACACTCGCTAAAAGAGCACCTGGACCTGGATTGCTGGTGCCTCTATAAACAACTTATTGATGGTCAATGTACACTCGTTTTCCAGATTTTGGTCTCTAGTCAGTACATCTTTTTTACCCATCTGGTATCCTTCATTCTACCCGTGTGGCCAGCCCATATCAATTTCAAGTCACCAAGCTCGTTGAACATCTTCTCTTCACCAGGTCGGCATAGTAGGGCGTACGGGGGCGGGCAAGTCGTCCTTGACCTTGTGTCTGTTCCGGATCATCGAGGCCGTGAACGGCAGCATCATCATAGACGGGGTGAACATCGCGGACATTGGACTGCACGACCTGCGGAGTCGCCTCACCATCCTGCCACAGGTATGTCTCCTTCGGTTTTTGCCTTTTTGAAGTTTTTTTCTGTTTTTTTGTTGTATTTCATTTTTTGTTTTTGTTTTCGTTTTTGTTGTTTTTGTTGCATTAAAATTTTTGTTTGTGTTTGTGTTTTGTTTTTGCTTGTTTTTTTTTGGTTTTGGTTTCTTGGTTGGTTTTTTTTTGGTTGTTTATGTATGAATCTTTTCGCAAAATTGGAGCAACAAAAACGTGGTTTCTTCGGAGACGGCTGAAACTCTTGGAAGTAAAGAAATCAAATGAGGTAGTGCTTGGAGAAACACAGCAGCAGCAGCAGCAGCAGCAGCAGCAGCAGCAGCAGCAGCAGCAGCAACAACAACAACAACAACAACAACAGCAACAACACCATTTGCAGTTACGGTAATCTTGCACGATGTTTTCTTTTTTTTCTTTTTCCTTCTAAACCAAAACCAGGACCCGGTCCTATTCTCTGGCACCCTGAGGATGAACATTGACCCGTTTGACCAGTACACAGACGACCAGCTATGGCAGGCCATAGAGAGGTCCCACCTCAAACCTTTCGTGATGGCGCAGCAAGAAAGGCTCATGTACCAGTGTGGCGAGGAGGGTTCAAACCTCAGGTTAGTTGGGAGGAGATAAACGAGTCTGTTTGTGTGATCGTGTGAATGTGTGCGTGCGCGTCTGTGTGCATGTGTGTATGTTTGTGTGTGTGTATGTGAGTGTGTGTGTGTGTGTGTGTGTGTGTGTGTGTGTGTGTGTGTGTGTGTTTGTGTATAGATACATTTTCTTTTTGGCTCAGTCTTTTTGGGAATGAACATTAAACTCGGAGGTCCCGCCTCTTTAATTACGTGGTAGTGGTAGTGTTGACAGGGGCTACCCTGAAAACATACAACGTTCCACCTAGCCAGGCCATCAAACTTGCTTGAGACAAAAAAGCTCTTTCCCCCCTCGACGCCCTAGAGGTACAAGAGGGCGGATAAAGTAAAATAAGAAAGTAAGTTGATAGGGACGTTATACCTATCGTCATTATCCGATGCTTTGCCGACTGGAGTGGGCGATCATGGACCTCCACTTCCCTCTTTCTTTCGTTGCAGCAATGGTGTCTGTTGTACTTGCTGCTCCTAGCCATGTTGTCATCTTGTCCAGTATCTATTCCCTCTGTCTGCCTCTGCCCCAATTTCCATCAAACTTGCCTGTTGTTACAATAATATCCTCCATTGCTTCTTTCCACTTTGTGTGTCCAAAGAACTTTGCCTGTCGCTTTTGTATATTCGTTATAAGCTGCGTCTGCAATTTGCTTCAACCAAGACTTCTTCATTTGTTTTTCTAGCTGTCCATGTGGATACGCAGCATGCGTCTTATGAACCACAACTCTGTCCTCTGTTGCCTCAATTGTTAAACCTATACCATCTCACAATCGGTCGCTTTTAAGTACAAGGGGGTTATCCCGCAAAATGTTGTTTTGAGAAAATGGAAAGTAAAGTTTTTGGACCCGTGTTCAGTTTCTTTAAAAAACAAGGAGAGTTTTCTCTAAAAACCAAACAAATATACACACCAATGAAACCCAAATTCTCCTATAGGTAAATAGGGCAATGCCCACTTTTGGTGTAGGTCAAGATTTCTGGAAAACCCCCGAAATCTGGGTTAGCCCGCTTGTCCTTAAAAAACGACCAATTTTTTCTCACCCTCTCAGTGTGGGACAGCGCCAGCTGGTGTGCCTGGCCCGGGCCCTATTACGTCACACCCGCATTCTGATCCTGGACGAAGCGACGGCGGCCATTGACCTGGAGACAGACACTCTCATCCAGAACACCATCCGGGAGTCCTTCAAGGAGTGCACCATCCTGGCCATAGCGCACAGGCTCAACACTATCATGGACTACGACAGGTATGTGGGGGCGTGTGTGGGTGGGTGGGTGGGTGGGTCGTGAGGAATGGTTGCTGTTGTTGTTGTTGTTGATGATGATGATGATGATGATGATGATGATGATGATGACGGTGATGTTGTGGTTGATTCCTCTGTTTATTGGTGATGATGATGATGATGATGATGATGATGATGATGATGATGATGATGATGATGATGTTGTTGTTGTTGTTGTTGTTGTTGATGATGATGATGACGATGATGATGATGATGATGATGATGATGATGATGAGGATGATGATGATGATGATGAGGATGATGATGATGATGATGATGATGTTTTATTGCTACCGTTTTTGTTCTTGTTGTTACTGTTGTTGTTGTTGATGATATTGGTACGGATGTTTCTCTTATTCTCTCTCTTCCTCTCTGTCTGTCTGTCTGTCTGTCTGTCTGTCTGTCTGTCTGTCTGTCTGTCTGTCTGCCTGTCTGTCTCTCCCTCTCTGTCTCTCTGCCCCCCTCTCTATCTCTCCCTTCTCTCTCTTTCTCTGTCTCTCTCTGTCTCTCTCTCTGTCTCTCTCTCTGTCTCTCTGTCTCTGTCTCTCTCTCTCTCTCTCTCTCTCTCTCTCTCTCTCTCTCTCTCTCTCTCTCTGACGCATACTAAAACCAGGACTGAAACAAACCACATTTTTCTCCAGGATCATAGTGATGGATGCAGGAGTCATCAAAGAGTTCGACACCCCCAAACGGCTCATCGAGCAGAGAGGAGTATTCTTTTCCATGTGCAAAGATGCGGGTCTTGCTTCATAATAATAATAATAATGATAATAATGATAGTAATAGCATTTGTATAGCGCAAATCCCCGCTCAACAGCAAGCTCTATGCACTTCACAATCTATACTACTATTACCCCGGCTGACCTGAGAGCATTCTGAAACCAACTTAACTTCCTGGGAAGCATAAGGCGCTAAAACACTAACATACTGACAAGATCTTCCGCTGTCATAAACGATTACAATCCTCAAATTATGAGGCTAGGTCACGCGAGATATCAATAACGAGTTTTTTAAAGTTTAGTTTTAGTTAGAGTTTTTTGGCAACATAATAAAGTCATCATATACGTGCTGATGATTAGAGGTGTTACAAGAGAGTCTAAGCAAACACAAAAAAGAGGAGGAGACATCAGGACGAGAGATGTTTGATAGGAAAGAAGGAGCAAACCGCACCGGAACAATCACCCATCCCTCGCAAATAAAGTTGTACTTAAAACTTTATTGAAAGAAAATACATACCCTGGATGTTTCAGGCAGGCTGTCTTAGATTTGTAAGTCTTAGGATTTTTAATTCGCTTGTGTGCTGTGTGCCTGTGTGCCAGTGTGCGCGTGAATGTGTGCGTTTAAGAGTTTAAGTGAGCGTGTTTGTTTATTTGTGTGTGTGTGTGTGTGTGTGTGTGTGTGTGTGTGTGTGTTAAGATCAGTGCTTGACAACCTTTTTATAGCCAGAGCTCACTTTTGCCGCCTTTCAAGCTACCGTTTTCATATCACCCACCTATATTTTGTATATTTCCAAGGAGGGCTTTAGATAATGCATAAAACTACTCGAGTGATTTCCACCGCCCACCAATATTACCAGATCGCCCACTTGTTGGGGATATTGCCCAGGGTGGTGAGCAATGGTCTAGATGTATATGAAATAAAAGAGAGAGAGAGAGAGAGAGAGAGAGAGAGAGAGAGAGGGAGAGAGAGAGAGAGAGAGAGAGAGAGAGAGTGAGAGAGACTGAGAGAGAGTGTGAGTGAGAGAGAGGGTATGAGAGAGAGAGTAAGTGAGAGAGAGAGAGAGTGAGAGAGAGAAAGAGAGAAAAAGAGAAAGAGAGACCGACAGGCAAACAGACAGACAGATGGACAGACAGACAGACAGACATAGTTTTGAAGTATATTTTCTTGACTTTGATCGAGAGAAGTGCATTGTACATAGATAGACTGAAAGACGGCGCGTAACCTACATTGATATTTTAGGTTGAGGAGAAATGGACGGGAGTACTACCAAAGAGTCTACAGAACAAGAGGGGCCACTTCTCCCTCTTTGAGCCAATTAAAAAAGTGTCCTCAAAATTCGGTGGCGCCCTCTTCGCAAATGCGCATCCTTGGCGAACAGAGTTATCCTACTTGAGTTTAAAAAATCAAAGTGAAACTGGCAAGTTTTTGAATAAATTTCGGAAGAACGCTTTTTTAAAATGGTTACGCTGACAAAAAACCTCTTCGGAGGAAAGGGTGATTGTTTTCTTTATTTAATTTGACTTTGGAATGAAAGGCGAGAGGTCATTAAAACAAAAAAAAACAACTAAAACTCCGCACTGAACGAACCCGAACTACTGATGAACAGCAGTCGACCTGCGCACGCAAGGGGGTGCTATTCCTCTTCTTTTTCTGGAAAAACGAAAGAGAACTTCAAAACAGACTGCAGCGCCATCTGAAGCAAAGAGCAAACTTCCGGCGGACACTTTTTTGGCTGGGTGGCCCATCTTGTTATGTACTATCTTTGGTACTACCACACTGTGAGTGGGTTCACAGTCAAGATTGAAAAGGAGCATTTTACAGTGCGGTCAAAAACTCGTGGTGCAACTTATCCTCAAATATCTCTATAACGGGTGAATCAATGTCATCCATACTTTGCATAGCAGTTGGTATCAATTTGTCTTAACTAAATCATATTTTCCCAGAACAATTGGGGCTAGATTAAAAAAACTTTTCTTCATAAATTTATATAAAATACTTGAAATATTTGTCACACGTAAAATGGTATAATTCACAGCACTTCCCACTTCTTACACACATTTCGATTACGCATATAGCCTACGTCACAGCTCATCGATGACAATTTTTACTTGCAAAACTTGTTACAAGAAATTATTGTTATAGTGAACACATTTTTGAACCAATGGCTCTCAAAACAAGCGTTCAATAAGCATAATGTCCCGATTAGAAAAACCCGACGGACTTGCTATGAAAAGCAATATTGCCCCAGCTGTAAACATTTAAAAATCTGTAGAAACCACCCGCTTGGATTTTTTATTAGTATTTATTAAGGAATTTTCTAGAATACAGCTTTCAGGTGTTTACAAAAATGTTTATCTGTTAAGACAAATTGATACAAGTCACTGCGTAAAAATTGGAGAACCTATGCTCCATAGTTGAGAAGATATTTGAAAATCAGTCGCACCACGAATTTTTGACTGCACTATACTATAGTTTGTGTTCTGTCATGTTTATAGCAGCTATTTTAAAGATATGCGGCCTCGCCATTATGCATGTATGATTTTAAGATGTATATATATTCATGTTTTTAATCAGCAGCTACATATAATTATGAGTCAGTGTTGAACGTGTAATTTGAAGTAATGTTCACGTTGTTGGTACACATAATAATAAAAGCAAAGATCTGGCACCATCGAGAAAGGCAGTGTTGTTTTGTTATAATATATTTTTACTTTGTGTCTGTTACTTGGCAAACTTGTTGGATTGTTGTTTTTTTCAGTATAGTTTTAATACAAGTTTTACGGCACTTGCAAAACAAGCAGATCCTAAAAGTGCCGAAGACTGTTCTAAGCCCAACATTTTGAAAACTGGTGGTTTTTATTTTTGACAGTTTCTTAATCTAACGTGCTGACAAAATGAGTTACTTCTAGAGATATTAGCCAAAAGTCAACACTCATAGGCTCAAATTTGTAAATTCTCTATTGATGCCATATTCTTTAAATATAGCATACTTTTATTTATTATTTCATTCCTTTTAATTACTTGTCAAAATTTCACCTATAAGCGTGATGTGTCTTTTTTCATTCGGCTCAAATCCGAGAAGTAACTCGTTTTGTCAGCACGCCTCACCTATGGTATAGCTTGCTTCAGCTCGAGTAATAAAATATTTTGTCGAAAATAAAATTATAATTGTTGAAAGCAGCAAGAAACGATTACCAAGTAGGTAGGCCTACACTCCTTAAAAGAATGGAACATTTTTTTCTCTCCTGAAAAATGTGCATTCTGGGCTTACGACATTTATATTATGTGTGGCCGCCTGGTGGAATCAGGAGCTCGTCAAAATGATGAAATTGAAGACATCGGCATTTTTCTGGCGGTTTGGCGTTTTCAATAATAATAATAATAATAATAATAATAATAATAATAATAATAATAATAATAATATCTCTTCTGGGATATATATATATATATATATATATATATATATATATATATATATATATATATATATATATATATATATATTACCAGAAGAGATAGGAGACATAATCCAACCACCACAACCACGACATTCCAGTGTCCCCACTGCAACAGACATTGTACATCCAGGATCGGATTGCACAGCCACTTGCGCGTCCACAGATGAGCTGCAGGATTCATCGTCATCTTCGGCAACGAAGGACTACCTACACACAAATAATAATAATAAATGACATTTATATAGCGCTCAACCCCGAATAAAGTACACAGGCTCTGAGCGCTTTACAATACAGTACAACATACAACAATAACATAAAACGTTGTGTTCTGACTAAAGACAATTTTTCCAAATATTCATCTTATTAATTTAAAAACAGAAACGACTTCAGCTGACATTTGAAGGAATCAAAAGATTTGATCTCTCTCAAAGTACTTGGTATAGCATTCCAGATCTTGGGGCCTTGGTATTCAAAAGCCCTTTCAATTTTCTTTTGGCTCAGCACCTATAACGGCCATTAAAAAAACCTGTTTCTGTGTGGACTTTACTGAAAAGCGTTGATCAAAGGTACAAAAAGAATGTTTTTTAGTTTTAGTAAGAGTTTTACGGCATTTGCATTACAATAAGGTCAAGTAAGTGCCGAAGATTAGAGGAGAGATCAGGACGACAGATGTTTGATAGAAAACAAGGAGCGAACCACACTAGCGCACCCGCCAACCACCCGCGCGCTTAATTAGAATCGGGATCAGCAGCGACAGACATAAACAGAAACAAACATAACTTGAAAACTCTTTTCAGAAAATAACATAATATATTATATTTTGTTAGCGTATGTCATAAAAATATCATCTCAGCAAAAATGTCCTTTAACTCAGGCATAATTATCCTATACCAGGCTATAGTTATGGTCAGATCGTTGTTTCCATTCCCAGCATACTCCACACCGCGCACTCCACACTCCACACGTCTGCCGTCTTATGGCAAAAAAATGTATATTATATAATATTCGGAACTAGGGTACTTAGCGTTTTTTGTACAAGGGGGAAACCTCTGTTCATGGCTGTCCTTCCTATCTTGGTTTTTTGGCTGTACAATTACAATTAAAGAAGATTTGTTTTTGTTTTAAACAGTACGTTGTGACCTATTTTGATATCGATATTGTTATGACAAAAGAAATTTTCATCACTTACTCCATAACTATCTACTTTATTCTTCAGCAGATCAGACAAAAGTTACACTGGTCAATGAATATTGACATGAAATAATCAGAACGACCAAATTTTAGTTAAGTTGGAACACACACACAAAGTTAGGTATTATTTTTGGCCTCTCCTTTAAAATTTCGTTTATGGCATGTACGTTTTTCTGTCATAAGACGTCAGACTTCGTGGGAATGTTTCCACGAGGTGTGTGCAATGTATGAAGTCTTTGAACATTACTTTATGTTCTCAAAACTACACAATACACACCGTACACTCCACACTTCACACTCCACGCGTCACAGAAATCTTTCCACGAAGTGTTTACAATGTATGAGGTCTTTAAACATTTATGCACCCACACTCCCCACGTCACAGCAATGTTTCCTCAAGGTATTTGCAATGTATGCAGTTTTTGAACATTATGCACTCAAAACTAGACACCGTACACTCCACACGTCACACATCACAGAAATCTTTCCACGAGGTGCGTGCAAGGTATACAATCTTTGAACATTACTTTAGGCACTCAAAACTACAAACCGTACACTCTACACTTCACTCTCCACACATCACAGAAATCTTTCCACGAGGTGTTTGCAATGTATAAAATCTTTGAACATAATCTCTGCACTCCACACGTCACAGATCACAGAAATCTTTCCACGAGGTGTTTGCAATGTATGAAGTCTTTGAAAATGGCAGGACACCGCACGTGGTCCAGGTATGTGTTGAGCTGGTCCCCCAGGCCTTCCCTCAGACTGACAGCACACAGAGATACAAGGGGCATGGGCTGGCTAAGTAGGTCAGAGATGGACACCACCGCGTAATCAGCCAACCTCTGGGCGGCGTGCAGTTTCTGTCTGTCTTCCTCCGTGCATCTGGCAGTTGTGGGGGTTTAAAGGG